TATGCAATAAATTAAATATTTATCATCCTACCATCGTATTAGCCATGGAGGTTTTTGTTTATGAATGGAGGCAGAATATAAATACCTGACTGATAATTTTAAAATGCGGGGTAAGTACAGGACAGACAAAGAAATCAAATATTAATTAACATGTCAATGTTTTTATTATTTCAGAGAAAAGCATGACTGAGGAAGATGACCAGTTTATGTTGGACAATTTGGTGACATTCATCATTGCTGGTGAGTTTCTATTTCAGCTTTAATGTTTAAAATGCTGTGTGACAGACCCGTCCCTCCTCCAGTGACAGGCTCCTGCAGCTCGCATAGTTACGTCATGGTCACAATCTTTAGTGTGAATTTTTATATAATTGTATTTATTGGCAAGTTTTGCTCTAGTTATTCACAACATGCATATAATGCACACGAACATAAATTACTGACTAAATGAGCTGTGTACATTACAAGACTGTGTATATAAAAGATGGAAATTCAAGGAAGCGTTGTCATTCTCATCGCATGTTTACATTAGTTGCAATGATTTTATGTACCCACGGTCCCGGTTTTCCATTAACAAGTAATAAAATGGTATCAAATACTAGTAAAGTATACAAGTAAGAGAAGTGCAGCGACCTGAGTAACAGTATGGAGTATAAATATTTTAGCAGCAAAGTATCCGTAGTGATTAAGGCGCTACAGTTGCAGTTTCTCGTCCATTATGTACCGAAAAGTCTCACAGCTTCTGGAATGAAGCCTGTTCTCAGTCTGGAGGTTTTGCATGTAATGCTCCTCAGCCTCCTGCCTGAGGGAGTGGGACAAAGAGTGTGCTGGGTGAGTGGGGTCCTTCATGATACAGGTGGCCCTCTTCCTGCATCAGGTGTATATTTCTGTGATGGTTGGTAGGCTGCCTCTGACAACTCTGTGCAGCCTTCACCTCCCTCTGTAGTTTTCCTCTCTGCCACAGTGCAGTTTCTGTGCCACACGTTGATGCCGGAGCACAGAACACTCTCCACTGCACTTCTGTAAAAGGAGATGTGGACTGAGCTCTCAAGTCTCGCACGCCTCAAGTGTGTGTGTGTGTGTGTGTGTGTGTGTGTCCTGAAGTCCACAATTTCCTTGGTGGTCTTCCCATTTAAGCAGAGTGTTTTTTTTCCTGCACCAATCCTCCAAGTGTTCCACCTCCTTCCTGTAGCCGGTCTCCTTGTTTGTGATGCATCCGCAAACCTTACAGTTTGACAGCCAGGGTGGTTTGGTGAGCAGTCATATGTAAGCATTGTGAACAGGAGGGGTCTTAGCACACAGCCCTGAGGGGAGCCAGTGCTGAGGAGCATGGAAGATGAGGGGACATTGTGGATCCTCACAGACTGCGGCCTGTTGGTCATGAAGTCCAGAACCCAGTTGGTCCATAAAGACTAATAGTTCTGAAAAGTGACACATATATTGCAGTGCCTTAAAGCTACATTGTTTATAATGTTGTCTTTGTATAGACATGTATTTATGGTGTCTTTGGTCTTTTTCCTCATGAATGTCCAGTGTTCTTGTTTACGCTGTCAGATCTACATTCTGACTGACCTCTAGTTTCAAAACTGCTAAGCAATGGAAAAACAGCAGCGTGTTTCATAT